ATGATGATTGATGATGATGATGATGATGATGATGATGATGATGATGATGATGATGATGATGCTGCTGATGATGATGATGATGATGATGATGATGATGATGATGATGAAGATGATGATGATGATGATGATGATGATGATGATGATGATGATGATGATGATGATGATGATGATGGCGATGATGGTGATGATGATTGAAAGTGTGCCACACTATCACAGTCCGCATCGGAGTCCTCTGCAGCTTTTCTGGCTTGGGATGGGAGGGCCCGGCCCGCTCGGCGCCTCAGCCGCCGCGATTGCGGCGTTCCTCGGTGGCCTTACTGGGGGCTGGTGGTCCGGGCCCGAGGCAGCGGGGCCGGGCTCCTGCGGGCACGTCCTCGACTGCCCGCCCTGCGCCTGCCCGGCGCCCGCCTGCCCCACACTGACCTGCCCGCCGGCGGCGCCTTGCCCGGCCTGCGTTTGCCCCGCGGCGATCTGCCCAGAGGCGAGCTGCCCCTCGCAGGCCGCCTGCCCCGCGGCGGTCGCCTGCCTTGCCTGCACCTGCGGCTGGGCGACTTCGGCGGTGTGGGCCGCCGCTCTGGCTGCTGCGACCCTAGCCTTGGGTCTCGCAGCGGCCTGCCGCCTGTGGTGCCACGGCCGCTGGGTCGGCACGGCGACGGCCGGGGCCTCGTTCGGGGCTCCCGCCACGCCCTCCGCCCTGGCCGCGGGCCGCGCGGCGCCGTCGCCGCTGGCGCTGGGCGACCGCGACGCTGGTGCTGCTGGCCTGGCTGGTGTCGACGAGCCTGACGTTTGGGTGCCGCGGCGTCGCCGCTGATGGCTGCCGTCCCTCAGGCCCTCGACATCGAGCAGCAGCAGATCGCCGAGGCGTTCGACGACGACCCGAACTTTCGGTGGCATCACCGCATCCTCCTGGTGAAGATCGGCGACGATGGGCGCTGGGTGTATGCGACGCCGACCCTCGACGTCCAGGTGCGGAACCTCTCGACCTCGCGCATCTTGCCGCTGGTTCGAGGGCGTCCGATCCCGCAGCGTCTGCGGGGGAACTTCTTTGGGTTCGACCCGCTGGGGGACGACGAGCTGGCGAGCCTGATGCAGCAGGCCCACGCGCTGGCGAGCATCTTGGGTGGAGCTGCGCCTGCTGCTGCTGCATCGGCGGCCGTCTGGCACGTCGCCGACCCCGCCGACGAGGACTTCGGCACCGCCGTCGAGGTCGCCGTCACCTCCAACCCCGGGCGCTTCGTCTCTCGGGGTCACACCGGGCTTGCCAGGATGGACGACCAGAGGTGGGCGGCGGTCGAGCGGCTGCTGCCCGGCGACCTGGCGGCTTGGAAGGAGGAGAAGCAGACGGGCGCCGGCCGCGACCCGCGGGTGCTCGCGATCAGCCGCGACGCGCAGGACGCCCGCTACCTGGACTTCAAGGAGGGCCTGGCCTCGCTCTCGGAGCTCCCGGTAAAGACGGGCCGCGACGGGATGACGACGGCCGGCGCCAAGGATTTGCCCTTCCGCGGGCCCTCGGCCGCCCTCGAGCTGCTGCGTGGGATCCGTGCCTCCGGGGAGTCCCTGGAGAGCTACCACTCCGCGCGGGCCAGGTCGTCTGGGGTCAGCGCCGAGGCCGGCGTCGCCAAGCATCACCAGAGCCTCGTGTCTGTGCTGCACCACGCGCTCTGCTTCGACCAGCTCGAGATCTTTCAGAGTGCGGCGATGGAGATGCTGGCCCGGCGGGTACTCTACATCGAGCGCGCGGTCAAGAAGTCGCCCAAGAACCCCGACTTCCGGGGCCTCGAGATGATGATCCACAGCCGCCTCGACAGCGGCGCCACCCTGGCGGTCGGGGACTTCGCCCGCTTCATCGCCGACGAGCAGAAGACGGAGGCCTTCGCGTTGAAGCAGCAGCGCCTCTACGCCGAGGAGAGCGGCCGCAAGAAGGGCGGCAAGGACAACGAGTAGGGCCAGCGTGGCCCTCCCCCTCGCGCCTGGCCTTCCGCCTCGCAGCGGTGTTGCCGTTGCTCGGATGGATCGTCGTGGCGCTTCCCGTGGGCAGTGTGGACTGTTCCCGCTCCCGCGGCCCAAGTCATGCATTTCTTTGCCCTGCTCAGGGCCGGGTCGGGAGCTCGCGGAGGCCGGCGCAGTGGGCGCGTTGCAGCTTGACGCCGCCGCCGCCCTCAACGCTCTGGCCGCCGCGCGCGCCCGTGGGCTGCCCAGGCCGGCGTGGCTCAGCCGTCTTCCCCACGGTCGGGGGCTGTCCGACGCCCAGCTCTCGACGTGGAGGCGCCTCGCGGACGTGGCCCTTGCCGCGGGCTCGAGGCCACTCGAGTTCGACCTCTTCCCCTTCGGCGCCCTGCCGGAGCTCCTCGAGGCAAAGGACTTATACGACGCGGACGCCCCCTTGGCCGTGGCGCCCTACGACCCATACTGCGTCTCCGTCACCTCCAAGCGGCTGCGCCCGAGGGGCGCCCGGCTGCTGGCGGGCGCTGACGCGGCCCGCTACCTCGCCGACCCGTCGCTCATCGCGCTGGGGGCTGACCAGCTGGACGGGGTCGACGGTCAAGCCAGTGCGCCCCCACAGGGATCGGCGCCTGGCTTCGAACCCTCGCCTCCTCCGCGAGTTCGCGCAGAGGCTCGCCGCCTGTGGCCTCATCTGCTACAGGACGAGGGTTGCCGCCCGCTGCGGGATGTTCTTCGTCAAGAAAAAGTCCGGACAGCTCCGCCTCGCCCTCGATGCGAGGCCGGCGAACGCTGTCCCCCGCTGGGCGCCATGCGCCAAGCTGGCCACCACCGGGGCCGCGGGGTCGCGCATCCACGATCCAGGGTACGTGGCCGCAGCTGCCCTGGACGCCGCCGGAGTTGACGGGGCGGCTCAGCCGGCCCCGCCTCTGGGGGCGGGCCGCCCCAAGGAGCTGTGGGGAGGCTCCGTCGACCTCCAGGACGGCTTCTATCAGTTCCTGGTGCCGACGGTCTCGCACTACTTCGGCCTCGGGCTCCAGGACACGGCGGGCGCGCTGGGGGTGGAGACGGTGCTCGACCCCGACCTCGGGCGCGACGTCGCGGTGGCCGAGGACGCCCTCCTCGAGGCGTGCTTCGCGGGCTTGCCCATGGGCTGGAGCTGGGCGCTGTTCTTCTGCCGCAGCGCCGTGTCCGAGGCCTGCCGGCGGGCTCAGCGTTCGCTGGGGCTCCCCGAGCACCTCCTGGGGGATAGGGAGCCGCCGCCGCCGCTGGCCGCTGGGACAGCGATCTGCGCCCCCTACGTCGACAACGCCAACGTCATCGGGGGTGACGAGGCCTCCGTCGCCCGGCTCCTCTCCGCGGTCGTCCGCGAGCTCGAGGAGGCGGGCCTCGCGGTGCACGAGCGCGTCGACCCCTGCTTGGACTTCGAGGCGCTCGGCCTGCACTTCGACGGGCGCCGCTCCTGGATCCGCCCCACCTCCCGACGATCGTGGAGGCTTTGGCATGGGCTGGGCACGTTGCTCCAGGTCAAGGCCATCTCCCCGGACCACATGCGCCGTCTCTTGCGGCACTTATGCCATCAGTTCTGTCTGCGCCGGCGCCTCCTCTCGGTGCTCGGCGAGCGCTGCCGGTTCGTCGGCAAGGGGGGCTCCGCGGTGCGGCCGCTGCCGGAGGGCGCCCTCGCCGAGCTCGCCGTCGCCCGCGGCCTCTGCCTCTTCGCGCACGTCGACATCGCGGGCGAGATGCTCGGCCGGTCTTACTGCAGCGACGCCTCCACCGAGGGGTGCGCCTTCCACTACACCGGCGCGGATCCAGCAAGCCTCTGGCGGGAGGCCGTCTGGCGTGAGCGGTGGCGCTTCGTGGACGACGACGGCGGGCCCGCGGCGACGACCGCGGCCATCCGCGGGGCCGAGGTCGCCCCCCTCTTGCCCGAGGGAGCCTTCCCCCGCTGGGTCGCCGACTCGCTGGAGCCGCTGCCCAGCGAAGCCCCGCTGCAGGCCGGTGATCCGCGCTCCCGTCGCCCGCCCCGCGATTTCCGAGAGCGGGTGGGTCTGGCGCCGCCGATCGCGGCGGAGTGGGCGCGGCCCAGCCGGTGGCGCCGCGGGGCCGTGGGCTCCTGGCGGCGCCCTGCTGCGATCCACTGCAAGGAGGCGCGGGCGGCCCTCCTCGGCCTCGACCGCGAGGCGCGCGACGCCCGGTCGCGCGGGTGCCACCTCGTCTCTTTCGGCGACAACCTGTCGGAGATCCTGGCGCTCGATCGGGGTCGAGCGAGAGACAAGGAGTTGCTCGCGCTCACCCGACGCTCGCGCGCCCTCCAGGTCGGCGCGGGCATCGCCTGGCACCGTCGCTACGTGGAGACCGAGCGGAATCCGTCGGACTTCGACTCTCGCCTGGCCGGGCGGGGCCCGGTGCCTTTCGGGCGGCGCGCGCCGGGGGCGCCCCTCCGCCAGCTGCCCTTGGCCGCCGCCGTGGGGCCAGAGTGGCGGGCGGAGGCCGCCGAGCCAGCCGCGCCCCCC